GGGCTTTACAGCATACGACATCCCTCTGTCCTTTGGATCCTCACAGCGGATAAGGAAAAACTCCCCCAAAAAACCCCTTTAACAGGGAAAAAAAAATGGTAGAAACCTCAGGAAGAGCAACTGAGGAGGGATCCCTCTTCCAGGACGGACAGACGTGCTATAGATGTCGTACAGAACAGATCAACATGATAAATTAACAGTAATCCGTATGACACAATGAGACAGAAAGAGAGAGAGACAGAGACAGAGACAGAGAGAGATGCAGGACATGGGTGACAGCTACAGTGGCATGCAAAAGCTTGGGCACCCCTGGTCAAAATTGCTTTTACTGTGAATAGTTGAGTAAGTAGAAGATAAACTGATCACCAAAAGGCATGGAGTAAAAGATGAAACATGATTTTCAACATTTTAAGCAAGATCAGTGTATTAATTTTGTTTTGCTCAGTTGCTCTTCCTGAGGTTTCAACTATTTTTTCCCCCGTTAAAGGCTTTTTTGGGGGAGTTTTTCCTTATCTACTGTGAAGGTCCTAAGGACAGAGGGATGTCGTATGCTGTAAAGCCCTCTGAGGCAACTTGTGATTTGTGATATTGGGCTTTATAAATAAAATTGATTGATTGATTTTACACAACTTTAGAGTGAAACACAGAGAGGTGCACCATGCAAAATGTTTGGCACCCCAAGACATTGGAGCTCTCAGACAACCTTTAGCAGGGTCTCAGACCATAATTAGCTTGTTAGGGCTATGGCCAGGTGATGCAAATTTCAAAGCTTTATAAATATTCGGACTCCTGAAACCTTGTCCCAAAAATCAGCAGCCATTGGCTCCTCTAAATAGCTGCCTAGCACTCTGAAAACCAAAATAACCAATGCCCACAAAGAAGGAGGAGACTATAAGAAGACAGCAAAGTGTTTTCAGGTACCTGTTTCTTCAGTTCATAATGTAATTGAGAAATGGCAGTTAACAGGACTGTGGAGGTCAAGTTGAGGTCTGAAAGACCAAGAAACCTTTCCAAAAGAGTTACTCGTAGGATTGTTAACAGGCAAATCAAAACCCCATTTTGAATGCAAAAGACCTGCAGGAAGATTCTGCAGACTCTGGAGTGGTGGTGCACTGTTCTACTGTGCAGCGACACCTGCACAAATATGACCTTCATGGAAGAGTCATCAGAAGAAAATCTTCCCTGTGTCCACACCACATAATTCAGCATCAGACGTTTGCAAAGGAACATCTAAACAAGCCTGACGCTTTTTGAAAACAAGTCCTGTGACTGTGAAGGCACAGGGAACATTTCACGGGTAGAGGGAAGAATGGATTCACTTAAATTCCAGCAAATTCTGGAAGCAAAAATCACACCATCTGTAAAAAAAGCTGAAGATGAAGACAGCATGGTTTCTACAACAGGACAATGATTCTAAACACACCTCAAAATCCACAATGGACTACCTCAAGAGGCGCACGCTGAAGGTTTTGCCATGGCCCTCACAGTCCCCTGACCTAAACATCATTAAAAATCTGTGGATAGACCTCAAAAGAGCAGTGCATGTAAGATGGCCCAGGACTCTCACAGAGCTAGAAGCCTTCTGCAGGAAGAATGGGTGAAAATCCCCCAAACAAGAACTGAAAGACCCTTAGCTGGCTACAAAAAGTATTTAGAAACTATACTTATGGGGGCTACTAAGGGGGTGCTACTAAGTACTGAACATGCAGGGTGCCCAAACTTTTGCTTCAGGCCCTTTTACTTTTTTGTTATTTTGAAATCGTAAAAGATTGAAATTAAAAAGTCATCTGACTTAAAAAATCAAAATAAGAAATGTGTCATCCTTATCATTTTCCCTTTTGAAATCAGGTCATTTTTTACTTGCTTAGCTATTCACAGTAAACGAAATTTTGACCAGGGGTGCCCAAACTTCTGCATGCCACTGTATGCTTACGGTAACAGTCAGGTCAGTTGAAGGCCTAAAAGAGGCCTCAAGGTCAGGCTACTTGACCTTTGTTATGAATGCACTCCATCCTTGGTCTCCCAGTTCTAGTGGAGAGAATACAGCTGTCTAGATAATAGTGCCTAGCTGGTTCCATCGCCATAGCTCCCAAGGTTAAGAAGAAGGGTGATTGCCCTGTGCCCCAGGCTTACACAACAAGAGTCACTTTTTAGATATGTGCATTTTGTAAGAGACAGTCCAGGGATTTAGAGTGAGCTAGGTGAGCATGCTTGTTGTTCAAAGTCAGTAACCAGTAGAAACTTCACAAAGCCACAGATCGGTACAGAATAACCTTTTTTGGGAGCGTGGAGTGACTCGCAAGGAAATACTGTTTGGGTTAAATACACTGAGAAACACACTAAAAACACTGAGCAAGGACACCCTCAGAATCTCTAGATACACACACTGTGTTACAAGTGAAACAAGTCACTTTGTAGGGGTTGTGACTCTCATAAAATTTTGATAAAACTTGCTAGGGTGTTTGCCTGTGCATACAGTTTACAACATTGTCTATATAGGTAATCATCTTCCATTTGATCAGTTAGAGGATGACCAAGGTATTTAATTTTCCTACAGACCTCAAGATTATTATTGGAAAGCTTAAAAGCTGGAAATTTGAGCCATTTGTCCCACTTAGTTCTACAGATTAAGACAGCACTTTTGCTGGCATATATTTCATATCATATTGCACACCATAAAGTGAACATATGTAGCTGCTGCAAGCCAGCACTACTTGGGCTAAGGATCATCGGCATACATAAGATGGTTTACCACCATTTCACCAATCATACACCCAGTTTTACAGGCTCTGAATCATACAGACAGTTCATCAACATATAAACTGAACAAGACAGGGGACAGGATTCCTCCCTGTCTAACACCATTGGACACTCCAGAAGGGGCTGATATACTACCTCCCCATTTAATCTGCATTATCTTTTTGATTCAGTTGACAATTATTTTGGTTTTGTGAAGTGTACTGTGCTCCCCTCCAGAGGTTTATATCATCCTGTGCTGCTCTACAGGTGTCATGGCAAACTCGCACATGTGTTACAGAGCTGAACCAGATGAGTGACTGTACCCATAGTGACAGTGACAGACAGTTGTCAGGTGTATAGGTCTCATTTGAGCTTCAAAAAGCAGTTGAAAAGGGGTACCAAATAGTGCACATTGATGAAGTGTGGCATTTTCCCAACAAGACAGATGTTTGTGTAAGGATAATGTCAACACATTTCTCAAATGCAAGCAAGAGGTTTCCTGCTACCCCACTCATGTCAAAACACCTGAGGAGCAGAGGAAATACCTACAAGATTATTTCGAAAAGGAAGGTATTGCATTAGAATCTGATAAAATCTATGTCAACAAGGCTGTCAGTGGTATAAGCTCCTCCTAAACTCCTTGTGGGATAGATTCAGCAAGAGATGTAACATGCCATCATGTGAGTTGATAACAAAACCAGCCGGGTTCACACAGCTGATGTTCAGTGACCACTATGATGTGCAGCAGTTCTGTTTCATCACATTCACTTTGAAGCCAGGTGGGTGGAGCCCACCCTTGGGTCAGTACCTGGGTGATTTAACCTATGAGATTTATGATGGTAACATACAGTATTGGGAACGTTACTTTAAAAAAGTAATTATTTACAGTTACTCATTACTTTCCCCAAAAAGTAACTGAGTTAGTAACTGAGTTACTGCACTATAAAAGTAACTAATTAAGTGGAAAAGTAACTATAGCGTTATTTATTTGTGAAATGCTCAAATATGTCAAATTGCTTGGACATACCCCTTAAAGGAGTCATCACCTGGTGTTTTAACATATCCTGTCTCTCTTTAATTGTCCTAAAAAAAATTTTTTAAATTAATTTGCCAAAAAAATCAAACATTGAGCTTGTTTTGCCCCCCTGCCATATGCGACTTTCTCTCGCAAGAGTAGATGCGAGATTTTGACTGGTCCGGATGCTCATTGGATTAATGATAATGAGGCGTGCGCTGATTGGCTGCAGGAAGGACAGGGCCGGGATGGGGGCTGGCCCAATACATCCACAAGTTGGCCGACTCCAAAACAACAACAATCTCTTCGTCATGGCGCAGGCACCAAATGAACAACCTGACCGGGCAGCTGTTTATGGAATTCGCTCTTTTATGTTTGAACCGGAGTCGGAACCAGAACCAGAGAGTGACGATGCTGAGGTGGTGGAAGAAACGCGTGTACAACAAGATGTCTCTGAGTGGTAAAGTTATTTTCATTTTGAGTGAGAATGAGAAGTTAGATATGTACCTCAATCCGGTTTTCGCTAACGAGGCATGTAGTGTCCCAGTTTTACGTGTTGTGTCAAAACATAAAAAGTAATGCAAATGTACTTAGTTTTATATCCATGGTCATAGTGAAGTTATGAAAATGTCTAACTTGAACATATCTTGTTACATAACATGCAGTTTTCATAGCATGCAGTTTATAGCATCATCCCAGGTAATAATGCAGTAATAGTATTGTGATGATTTTGGTTCCTGTGGTATGTTTTTGTGTTTGTTCTCTCTCTCCCTCCCCCTTTCTTCTGTTCTGCAGTGCATGTGTGTGTCAGGGGGCGTGGCTGGCTTCTCCTGCAGCAGCAGATGAGGCACACCTGTCTTCAATCACCTCATCTTCCTGTCTACAAGAGCCTGGTCTTCACTCCACTACGCTGCCAGATAATTCCGTCATGTTCGGTAGAGCTCTGTGTTCTTACATTTTGTATCTTGTGCTCAACTTGCTGCATAGCCGTATTTTGCTGCCTATTCTTCTAGTGTTGCTAGAGGTTTTTGTACTTACCTGTGGTTTTTTCCCTGTTGTACTCAGGTCGTCCTTTGTGCCTCACCGTGTGCCTGAGTTTTTTTCAATCCATCCTTTGGTGAATATTCTACGAGCCAGCCAGCTCCCTGCCTCCACCGCCTGCTCTTGTTTTTTCTTATTGTTAATAAACCTTTTTTGTGACTGACCTGCATCAGTATCTGCTTTGGGGTCCAAACAAAACCTGTACCTAACAAGTATAGCTTGAATATAAGTTGGTATGTCCCATACCATGTACTATTTTGGCCAAATGCCTGGTGTAGTCGCCATGTTATTGCTAATAAGATAATAGGCAAAAAGTCAATACCTAATGTAAATATGGTGTCACTATATCGCTTAATACTCAAACACAGCATCTTCCAGTCATCTTTTATACACCTGCACCAGCATTACCTACCTTCTTTTTCCTAAAGTAGTTCTAATTCTCCTTTCTTTCCCCTGAAAAGGTGCACATGTGGGAATTGTGCCACAATGCCCACTGAAAGAGAAAACGTTTGTTGCAGGGAGACCCCAAAAGTAGGTATCATACACAATGAGTATTCCTCGTCCAGTGTGCTTATGAACTCTGCAAAAAACACACATTTGCCTCTTTTCATTGCACAGGTACTCAGAAGGATGAACCAGCTCCAAAATCCCCCCATGTGCATGACAGAACATCCTGGCTTGGAACCTGTCTGCTTAAATGTCTTCTCATTACAGAATGCAAGAAACATTTATATGCAGGATTATGCCCATTTACCAGTTCAAGGCAATGAGAAGTATGTTTCTGTTCTGCATCCAAACATTTAGAATTTTTAAAAAAATGAATTGCCAATGAGATAACTGCATGTCAATGTGATAATAAAAATTAAAATACATTTGTGTTCTAGTTATTGTGTAAAAGTATTAGAAATAGCAAGTTCACCACATTCAGTTTGGACAAATGCATATGAAAAAAACTGAGGTGTAGCTAGAGAATACACTATAATCCCACATACTGTACCATTTAAATGTTTCTACATTGTTACTTTCATATGTAAAATGTGAAGGAAACAACAAAGCTTCAATACAAAAGTGTCTTTATTAAGAATACAAAAAAGCACAACAACACTGCAAATCTACTATTTCTAAATCAAACAAGATAAATAAATCTAATTGCATTTTTGTGCACTCTCTCTCCAGTGAATACAGGCACCTTGCATACAGGTCCTTTGTGAGCTGGTGCTGGGGTCATCTTGGCCATAGAATACGCATAGTAATACCGGCATGTGTGGTGCTGCGGATCCGGCAAGATCTGATGAAACTCAACACTGAATATGTTAAATGAATGTAATTGACACTTAATAGAATAACTCATTATTATTAAACATCGTACACTTATCTACACTACACTGCATTGTTGTGTGGGACAACGTAACAGACAAATTCAGTAAGTGGAACACTAGAACACAATAGATGGCTTAGAACTTGTGACATTTATTACACAGGCCAAAACTGGCCAAAAAATGTCGAAAATAAAGCAATACTTCTCAAGCAATTTACAAATAATAATAATAATAATATTAATAATAATAATCTTTGTAGTGTAAATTAAAAATATCAAACTGTCGCTCAGCTTCACAAACGGTAGACATGCTGTAGCCTACTTCAAGTATTTTCTTTATCACAAAAGTAAACAGTTTAACCATATGATTTGCTCTCAATAAACCAATGAAAAATGTAATGAATAAATAAATAAATAGCCTGTTGAAAATATACACTCCTCCATTAATCGTGCAATTTAAATGTGAAAAGTCTCACTGACTGACCGTCACCTGTGTGTGTGCGGAGAAGGAGAGGGGCGGAGGGAGCGGAGCTGTGGAAACATCCTGCAGTCCGACATACTATCATGCGTTTAAATAACTTATTGGACAGATATATATAGAGAAAGGCAAGCCCAAATAAGCAACTCTATTTGTACTCTATTTCTATTTGTAAACGACTTTACCATAAAACAAGCCCACACAGCAACCCTGCTTGTGTGCTTGTGAATACCTGCCCTACTCTGCCTCTGACTGGTTTATGATGAAACATTCCTCTCCCTAAGCCAATCATCATCACTTACGTGGTTGTCTCTCCCTCCCTTCCCCCTCACCTGCCCTCACCAAAGGAAAAAAGACTCCGCTGAGAAGGAGCTTACTTGGGTGAAAGCCGCTTCAGTGAACACAAGTAAAGCCGAGTAACGGCGCATTTTATTGTGAGTAACGGTAACGGCGTTATAACGGCGGAGACAGTAACTTTTTTGATTACTCCTTACTGAAAAAAGTAGCGCCGTTAGTAACGCCGTTTGTTTATAACGGCGTTATTCCCATCACTGGTAACATGTGAGGGCAGTGCCTATCACACTGCAGGTCAAATGCAAAGGAGTGACATTAAATTCTAAAAACTCTGCTGTGGTCTTCCACGAGTCAGTGGCAGATTTGGTTCACTCATCTGTGGTCAATCAGAATACAAATAACCACAGTGTGGCTGTATCAGAAACCATCAGAAGAGAAAAGAATCTCAAAAACCACACAGTTACAAAGAAAATACAGGTTGTGTATAACAAGGCAGAGTACTGACTGATTATACAACACTCCCCCTATGAATACTAGATCGGACTAGGGATTTGACAGACTTCAGCATCCTTTTAGTTTGCTGGTGAGTGGCCCTTCAAATTGTGGGAAGACCGATACCTCCTTACAGATCATAAATCCAAGACTCCTGATCATTTGAGACTCAGAGCAGCTTTGCTGTCAGATCATCCGGTTGTATACATCCCTAAAAAAAGCAGAGGGGGTGACAATGTCTTCATGCATGCAGAGGAACTTGGCCCTGTTGGAGATGTTATATAAATCAACACCATGTGTGCAAAGGGTTATTGTGGGTAATGCAAGTGCAGACTTTATTAACGCACTATGTGAAATAGCTCTTCATGTGTTGAGAGGTAACATACCATTGACCAACGAACAGTACCAACAGCTTCAGAAGAAGAAAGCAATCATCATGACTAATAAAAAACTAAAACTTTTAAAAAAGAAAGAATCCATAAATCAGACCAGCAATGGGTTTTTGCTACTGTAGTGTATTATCATTTGCTCTGAAGGTTTGGAACAGATGACCAGTAAGGGGCCTAGGGTCAAAAAACATATATGGTCAGGGTCAAACAGATATTTATGGCCCAGGGTTAAAGTTTGGTGAAGTCCATCTAGGGAGACCCTCTATTATCTGTTTGACTTTGTCTCACATTTCACAGAAACAGTGAGTCTATATAATGGGAGTTATTTGGGGCTGTTTTTCAGAGCAGTTCACATTGGCTTCGAACCTCTCCAAGCATCCTAGATGTTTGATAGATGCTGTACTTCTTGTAATAAACCTTTTCTTATGCAAGCAAGACGGTGTCATTCGGAGACTTCTTCATCACCTTCACATCATCGCTATTTAAGAAACAACACTACCCCTATTAGAGTAGCTATTCCTTTTATAACTAGTCTTTTAAACAGAGGGTGAAATGGAGTACACTCAAAAAATGTTCCTGGTTCCTTAACAGCAACTGGAATCATAAAGACGTCAGCAGCAAGAGCAAAACAGTGGATCCATATGGCAAAATGTGCAAAATGAACTGGATAGAGCCATGATTGATGTGCTGAATGAAACAGACATATGAGAAAGCTAAAAAATATGTAGGTATTTTACAGCATTACCTGCCATTGGTGAGGCAGGGCGAGCGTGAAAAAAATGTTGTCTCTATCATTGCCAGAAAGTGTGAGCAGTGATATAACTGACACGAGCCACAATGGGTGCGGTTACATGATAGCTTCTCATTCAGACTGAAATAAATCTGAATAAATCATTCGGAATTAAAGTTTTTCCAGGTAGTTTACATGGAAAATATTCATCCGAATGAGGGTTTACATTACCCTGGAAATCCAGAGTTCTCGCGAGAGCACAATTTGAATTTGCTCAGCAAGTCACTCTGGCAATCAGTAATGATGCTCATTACCTATGCCCATGAAACTGAGCTGCACCAATCACATTGGTGTATCTGATATAGGCGGGCCAGAGGTGAGCTAAACAGATGACGACAACACTGCGACAACGAAGTCCGGAATCAGTCAGTAAACATTGCAAGATGGCTACGGATGAACACCAGTTGTTTGAAATGGCTTTGGCCGCTACAGTGAACGAGTTAGACTTGGCTTTTTCTCTAAAAGAGGAACAGAAGACAGCGCTCGAGTCTTTCCTTTGCAAGAAGGACGTTTTTGCTGTTTTGCCGACCGGATATGGCAAGAGTCTAATCTACCAGTTAGCTCCGCTGGTAGCTCTCTGGATACGTCACCCCGTGTATTGTTCTGATTGGTCGTAGTGTTATCCAATTGCATGCAGTGATATTTACAAATGCATGCTTGGTGCCGCCCCTCGAGTTGGGCCATTTTCATTACTCATGGCCAGACCCTAAATCTTTCTAGATTTGGGTCTAAATTTCCAGGCTAGGTTTACATGGGAGATCAGTTTAATCGCCTTTTAATCACCTTTATTCGGGTCCACGCAAGGTTTCGGGCAGGGAAGGTTTCTGATTGGCTAGGGGGCGGGGCGGATGTTACGTGTTTACATTTACCGGAAGAAAACACTGTAGTCCTCGTTCCAGATAACAAGATGCTTGACAAAACCATTCTTAGTGCCTTTTTCTGGCTTGTTTTGCTTATATTCTTGAAGCAGCAGTACAACAACAACCTTGTTCTGCTAATGCTTCATCTGTTGAGGAGGAGAAGAGAGGTAGAAAGTCGAAGAAGGGAGATAGAAGACCACTCGGGACTAGCTGGCGTCTTGTTGCGCACCCGTTACATACATTATCACACCAGAAGGGCAAGGAAACGAGCATGGGCAGAAAGACCGGAATGAACTGAGTGGATACAAGTGTGAGAAATTCTTTCATTCGGAATTAGAAACGTAATATTCCAGCCCCTTACATCGGAATGAATTTTCAATTGCATTGGCCATTTTTATTCCGAATTAGGTGTTTACAAGATCACTTTTAACAGGAATGAACTTTCATTCCGAATGAAAAGGGAATTAAACTGTCAATGTAAACGCACTCACTGTTTTACTTATCTTGACAAAACAGACATTATTAAAGAAGAGGTTTTAAAAACATGCCTAAAAGAAGCCTGCCTTTTCGTGTACACCATCAAGCCATTTCCATCCTGCTGTTTGGTTGTCATATTCCTCACAATTTTCGACACCACATTCCCCACTTTGTTTGTGGTTGCTGTTTTCAAATGTGGCTTAGCCAAGTTGAATCCTCTTTTTAACAAGTGGACTGCCATCCTAAATAGATTAAAAAAAATATACCACCTAACCCATGGCCACATTGTGTGCTTGTCCCTACAAACCTTGGTAATTCTCCTCCAGCTTGATTCATGTTGTATGTCACTGTGTAATTAACAGAGCCTAATGTAGTGTGGCCTGTCATAGGTCCTTGTGATCATCTGATTACTGGGTCCTTTAATAAGTACTATCTTTAAAGGCGCTGTATGTAATAATGTGGCCAAAACGGTTACTGCACTCAAATTCAAAATACTGCCGCAAGTCGTGTCCGCCCCCCCTCCCCTAAAGATTCGAGGTTGCTGGACAACGGCACGCTGGAGACTGATTTGTTTGCCCACGGGTGGCTGCCGTGGCAGGGCCGCGTCGCCTTCATCTTCGGTTTTCCAGCGGACCGTTTGAGCAAGTCCGGCTTCTCTGCTGCTAACGCTGCTGCCGGGATACAGCTAAGGAGACTGCTAATGCTATGTACTGGGACACTGCTAACGCTGCTTGCCGC